GTCTAGTACGTAAACTTAAGCTTATACTGTGACAAGCAGAAAGTAAGCTTCACAAATTTAACGTACCTATCATCTGCGAGATCAATAAATGAACCATCATGACGAGCTACGTAGAGAGCTGTAATTTTACATCCTTTGGCAATCTTTCTGGCCTCCTGTAGGTGGAAACACAATAGAAGAAATCGTAAACACGAACCCACGACAACAACAACACAGCAGCGACATTGACCTCTTTTATTTTGCCGATTTCTTGAGTGTGGTCCACATCTACGGCTACGATTGCACTCTTAAATGCATCTTCAGGATTATACTTGGTTTTGTTTCGTATAAAGAACCTCATTTTGTTCAAAAAATCCGCAAAAGTAACACTTGTTTGCTCTACATTTTGGTGAAATGTGAAACGTGACACTTCGCGCCTTCCCTGYAATTTCAAATTAAAAGAAGTGCATTGATTGGTCAGGATTTCGTAGCATAAGCTAAAATCTAACCGCACCTTCTATTGGTTAAATCAACTTAGGGAAGAACCAATGATAAGATAGTCGGAACAATGACGAAAACTCAACAAACCAATGCATAAAAGCATCATTTTGATTGGTTCATTTTGTGAATATATAATTATATCATGCAATCAAATTAGCATTGGGAAATCCGACATTTGTAATAGCTTTTTGATTATTTTTATAAGAAAATGAGTGTTGCTTGGGCTCGATTTCTTAGTAGAATAGAAAGTGTAGTTCCCCGGCGGATGCTACCGTTTTGGAATGCGCCAGCAGGTAAGAAAAGTCGAGATTTTAGCACTATTTTTTCTGTAGTTTATCATCATTTCAAAGTGCCGCGTATTCGTGACCTCTGTCGACTGAAACCTTATAATATTTCGTTGATTTGACTGAAAGTCAAGTACTGTATTGCCTTATTGAACTGATTGTTTGTTGTATTCTCTCATCTTTGACCATTTAGGACCAAAAACGATATTTTTCTGGGCTCCAGCTTTCAAATGGGTAAGTGATCATGAGAATTTTAAGCATGCAAGGTTGACGAACATGAGCATTGGTTCATTAATTAACCGCCGAAAAGCAATTAGACGTCCATTGTTGTCTATGCAGTAGTCATACAAAGAGGGAAAGAAAACAAAGTAATTAAAGAGTCTAATAATACTTTGTTTTGTTCATGGTTTTATGAAATGCACTATGAATTATTGAGAGATTCATCCTCGAGAACCCCGAGGGAATGCTACCCTGGGTACGAAGTCTGTGAGAGCTTGTTTCCAGAAGTTGTAGTCGCCCTCTGAAGTCCTTCGTATGCCATGGCATTCTGTTTTGCGCCCTCTACGACTCTAGAATCATGTAAAATTGCAAATAGTTCTTATAAATTTCTTAATGAATTATGATTTTACTGTCTGCCATTTCGAATTTCGAAACAAAAACAAGGTCTATAAACAGA